TCCTGGGAGTGTTATCGAAATAACATATGTAAAATCACTCTGCAAGCTGCTATTCAAATGCTAGTGATTTTTTACTAACATAATTAGGACTAGTTTGAATATCTTTTGTCTTTTAACCCAATGCCCTTTCATTGAAATCACTTTTCCACCCATCCAGTCACCCCATAATGATTTCTGAATGTTTGTGAGGAGTCAAGTGCTCCCCTAGATTCTGGAAACAGGAGCTAAAATAGACAACCAGGAGAGGGAACGCGGAGGCTGGAGGCGAGTCAGGCCCCTCGAAGGTGCGTGGCAGCTGGCGTGGGTGTCGCCAAAATCGGTGTGTGAGCCAAGTTCTGAGGGGGCAGGGAGGGGTACGAGGGGCTTTGCTGCAGTGGGAGTGGCCTGGGGGGCTCGCTGGCTCATACTGTGCTCTTGGTCCCCATGCACGTGACCCTCAAGCCCCCTGTTCTGGGGACAGGACCTGCTCTCGGAAGCAGTGAAGATGTCAATCCCACTCAAAGCCATTTAAAAAAATCTGGATGTCTGATTTGCAAACTTGCAGCTACAGGGGAAATTTTCCCAATTTAGAGTCTATTTCTCCTTGTTGTGCATTTAGTTGTGATTAATCATTCTAAAATTCACGAGCCAGGGTCCTGTCACAGTTCGTTGAATCAACTTTCCATCATCCTTATGGAATAAAAGCGCAGCTCTGGGAAGTGACCTCAGTGCAACCTTGAGCTGATGCGGCAACCGTGACGTGGGGTCCAGATTGGGCATGGAGTTCCGCAGGCTCGAGCTGCTCAGAATCTTAACGCTGGTGACTTTGACCCCGTGGACAACCTTGCACGGAGGAGAGGGCGAGGCCGCGGCTGTGTGTGCCCACACGGCTCTTTGAGCCAACCTAGCGCCATATGTTGGCCAATATTCCCCAACGAGTTGGCATAAACCCCACCACGAGAGGTAGCATTCTGTTGATTGGGAAATTGAATCTGGGCATCTGGTGGTGACTGCAGACCACAGGGAGAACGTTCCTGGGGTTTCACTTCGGCAATTGTATTTGGGCCCACAGACACAATGATGGGGACTTTTTTTTTTTAAGGCAAAGTCTCACTCTGTTGCCCAGGCCGGAACGCAGTGGCACGATCATGGCTTACCGCAGCCTCAACTTCCTGGGCTCAGGTGATCCTCCCATCTCAGCTTTCTGAGTTACTGGGCCTAAAAGCACGTGCCACTGAGCCCACCTAATATTTTGATTTTTTATAGAGACACAGGCTCATTATATGGCTCAGGCTGGTCCTGAGCTCATGTAATCTTCCTGCCTCGGTCTTCCAAAGTGCTGTGATTATAGGTGTGAGCCCCCATCCCTGGCCCAATATGGCCTCGTAAAGTAACAACAACAACAACAGCTGCAGGCTCCAGAGCGTGTTGCAAATTGGAGTCACACTGGACATCTCAGAAACCACTTCTGTATTGGTGCCAGCTGTCCCCACTAGTAAGCCTTGAATACACATAGCAAGTGCTCAATACATAGATGAAAAACCCCAGCATTCTGGCGCTGCAAAGGATTTCAGATTCACCCTCTCTCCTTTTTTTCCCCTAAGAAGGATACTGAGGTCCCAAAGGAGAGGAGTTATTTGATCAAGGTTAGTTGTCAGCTAGAACAAGAGCGAAAGTTGCTACCTCGGGGATCTCAGCATAAAGCTGTGTAGGTCGTGTGCTGCACAAAAGACCCGGACAAGGAGTGGAAAGGAGTCTGAAAGCCAGTCCAGCACTGGATGAAGGGAGATGTGTCTTTTTCCTTTCACAGAGGGACCATCTACTCACCAAGCCGAGTGCGGGCCATGTCTGCACTGAGAAATGTTTGCACTCGGGTAGATGCAGAAGGGTGACATTAAGTCATCAGAAGTCCACATCGAGAATTTTATAGGGTTAGCTGATGCCTTCTGCCTGTTTGCAAGCAGAAACAGTGTGATTTTTTTTTGCTGTTCTGTGACCCACTGTATGCATGTATATATGTATGTATATATGTATGTATGTATCATCTATCTATCCTTATCTATCATCTATTATCAGTCTTTCTAATTTCTCACTATTATCCATCTATCCAGCCATCTATCTATCATCTATCCCTATCTATTATCTATTATTTGTCTGTCTAATCTATCATCTATTACCAGTCTATCTCTCTAATCTATTATCTGTCATCAGTCTGTCTCTAATCTATCATCTGTCTTTCTATCTACCTAATCTATAAATCATCTGTCTATCATCAGTCTATCACTCTAATCTATCATCTGTCAATCACCTACCATCAGGCTATCTCTAATCTATATCTATCTATCTGTCTAATCTATAAATCACCTATCATCTATCTCTCTAGTCTACCGTCTGTCTATCTATCATCTATAGATCATCTGGCGTAACCTATATTGATAAGGATATCACGCCTGTTGGAGAGGAGGGCTAGCACAGAGAACAGGGGCAGTGGTCACTCACTCTGGGGGATGTCCGAGGAACATTCCATCCATGTCTGTTTGGACTTGCTAATAGATAAGTGTTTGCCCATCTGTTTCCCGCAGCTTCTAATGGAGTCCTGCCCACAAAACCATCACGGGTGTAGCCTTGCACTAAACACTCAGGGTGGCGATCATGAGTCCCCAGAGGAGAAGACATCTTCCTGGGCCACAGGGCGGTCATGCCACCAGCAGGAGGTCATGATTAGCAGGAGGAGGAGGAACTGACCCATAGCCACACAGATATACGCAGATGTTAGGGGAGAGTCTTCAAGAATTGTGCAAAGAAAAAAAGGAAGAGGGCCATTAAAAGTTGACAAAAGTCAGACAGGGCAGACTTTGCATGCAAATGACTGGGCGGGTGGGTCAGGCATATATCTGTCAGTTCTTTTTCCAAAATAAGAAATCAATGAGGCACTCTGTTTGCATTTTAAAACTCCATTACTCTGTCTCCTAGGAAGTCTCTTGGTGCTCAGGTTGAAGTGCTCTTGGCTGAGTTCCTGCCCTGGGGTCTCACAACCCCAGGGAAACAGAACTTTAACACCTGCCCCTTCCACCCCCTCCAAGCCTTTTGGGGAAGACCAACCCTTCCTCCTCTTAGTTTTTAGGGGCAGATTCAAGACTGATGTGGTTTGGGGGGTATTTACTCCAAAGAAAAAGCCGTTGTTCAATTTTCCCTGCAAAGCTCAGGCACTGTGTGATTTTTTAGAGGATGATGCAGAACAAGAGTTTCAGAGTGTGATATGTGTAACCTTTCCGGGGAAACGTTCAGAAGGAACCAGCCAACCAATGCATCATCCTGTCAATTTAACAGCGGTGTCTAAGCTAGCTTTTACTCTGATCTTTACAGCAACGAATACAAAAAGGGACTCCAAAATTATGTGTATGTCTGTGTCAGTGAATCAAAAACTCAGCAAAGAAGTTTTTCCTGCCACTGCAGGATATGAAGGTCGTGGAAGTGACTCATGAGCAAAGGTCATCACAACAGAGGCTTTGTCCCCATCCTGGTCCCTTTCCCCTCTCCATCTTGTGGGTCAACAGGAGAAACAGGTTAGATATCTGTCTTCTGTTGCGTTTCAATCATGGCCTGGTACTTAACATGTATTAGTTCATGTAATCAATACAACCACACTCTAAGTAGATATTGCTTTTCCTGGTTGTTCTCCGGGGAACTGGAGTTTAGTTAGGTCAAGGAGCATGTGGAAAGTCATACAGCTAATAGTTAGAAAATCCAGCACTTACACCTAGGTTTTTCTGACTATAGAACCCAAGCTCTTGTCAAAACACCAATGGGTCTTCCTCACAAATCCTAGAGGGTCACCCAAGTGGTGTTGCTGAGCCCTGGCTGTGGACAGACACAAAAGCAATGGAGGAGGCATCTCTGCTTTCTTTGGATCTGACTCGTCATGGTAACCTAGCATAGGGTGGGGACCATCGGAGTTCTTAATCATAGCGTATCAGATCTGGGCTCTGTTTCCCTTGCGACTATTTAAACTCTTCATTGTTTAAACCCTCAGTATCCCTAGTTGCAAGTGAAAAAAAAGCAGAATTGAAAATCCAGGTATAACTTTTGACTCCCCCAAAACGTAGCTGCTAATAGCTTACTGTGGACTGGAAACTTACTGATAACATAAACGGTCAATTCACACATATTTTGTATATTGCATACTGTATTCTTACAATACAGTAAGCTAGAGAAAAGAAAATATTATTAAGAACATTATAAGATAAAGAAAAAAATAGCTGGGTATGATGGCTTATGTCTGTAATCCCACAACAGTTTGAGAGGCTGAGGCGTGAGGGCTGCTTGAGCCCAGGAGTTCGAGACCAACCTGGGCAACATAGCAAGACCTCATCCCTTAAAAAAAAAAAAGCCCAGCACCTGTAGTTCCAGCTACTCGGAAGACTGAGGCAGGCAGTAGGATGGCCTGAGTCCAGGAAGTCGAGGTTACGGTGGGCTATGATCACACCACTGCACTCCAGCCCGGACAACAGACTGAGACTCTAACTCAAAGGAAGAAAAATAAGATGTATTTCCTATTCACGAAGTGGAAGCAGGTTATCATAAAGGTCTTCATCCTCATTGTCTTCACACTGAGTAGGCGGAGAAGGAGGGAGAGGGAGAGGCAGAGAGGTGGGCACACTCAGTGTCACTTTTCTTGAAAAACGTCTGCGGATAAGTGGACCCACGCAGTTCAGACCTGTGTTGTTGAAAACTCACTGCACTGTGCTTACTTCGTGGAGTTGTTGGAAAGATAACGGGGCATGTAACGGACTGAGCACAGTGCCAGGCACGTGGCAGTGACTCAGTACGTGTTTTACTCAAAGCACACACCTAGTTTTCCATCACCTTGGTATGAGCTCCCTTGGTGAACGGGGAGTGATGTCACGTCTTAGAAGTTGAGTCAGAGCAGGGATAAAGCCTGGAGGTGTGGTCCTGAGGGGGTGCTCATGGTTCCCAGGTGAGGTCCTGCAAAGCACGGTCTTGGGCTTCTTGTTTTCCAGTCATCACCATATTTAAGGGTAAAGTGGAAGAGGTCGAGCTGCCCGTGGACAAGGTAGACATCATTATCAGCGAGTGGATGGGCTACTGTCTGTTCTATGAGTCAATGCTCAACACGGTGATCTTTGCCAGGGACAAGTGGCTGGTAAGTGTCATGCATGCGGTCCCTGCGTCGGTCTGCTGGCTGCCCTGATGCTCTACTTTGTCCTACAGCCTAGGAAGAGTATGGGGACTTCAGCGAGGACTCGGGCTAGCGAGCAGGCTACCTCTCTGCCCCTCTCTTTAAAGCAAGTCCAGTTTATAGATACCATCTATGCACATAGATTCTGTCCATAGATAGAATGATCATCCTTGGGTCCAACATGTCTGACTGTCAGCATGTACTTCTGTAGGTCTAACCCTGGCCTCTTTGGCAATGATTGGCACCCATTTTCTCTTATCAAGTTAAAAGTCCGTTTGGTCAACAAGTACTCAGGACTTGCATGACTGCCAGAAAGCCAAGTGTACCGTCCATCGGGGCCTCTCTGGGCTAAAAAGTTATAACACCTCTCACTCCTCCTTGTCAGGCTTACCTTCAGTCCACTTCATTTGTTATATTGACCCCACCTTCGGCCCTTACATCTTCCTTGCTCCAAAATAAAAATTGAGCTTTGCTACCCGGGCCCTGACTCTGGACAAGGCGGCAGTCCACCGAGTAAAAATGCTGGCGAGGGGGTGCTTGTGTGGTGACTCTATGTGCAGTTCAAAATGTGATGTCTTTGTCAGGTGAATAGATTACGAGACCCATTTCCCCACAATTCATCAACAGAAACCTGGAGGGCTTATGTTTCCAGACCGGGCAGCTTTGTACGTGGTAGCCATTGAAGACAGACAGTACAAGGACTTCAAAATCCACTGTAAGTCCCTGTTTGATTTTCTGCTGATCTTCTCTTGGGGCGGGAGGCACACCAGTGGGTCTGAGAGGAACAGGCAGTGTCACTCATACAGGTGCTGTCCCCGTGGAGTATCTGTGAGCCTTTCTGGACTCTTCTCTGTAAATGTTTCTCTTTGGTCCCAAGGGCGGGAGGTCTACAGAGGGAAAATCAGCAATATGGCGGGTGTAGGGAACTGTCCTAGGGTGTGGGAGTGAATGCAAGGTGAATAAGAATGGACGGAAGCAGCAGAAACCACGTGTTTGTAGGGAACAGCAGGGCAGGTGGCGAGAAGCCTGTTGAGCTTCAGCTATCCCAAAAGTCCGCCACAGAGTCAGAAGCAGCAGGGCTCTAGCCAGGCCGGCCATTTTGAATCCTGCCCTCATGACGCTCAAACTTATCAAAATAATATTGGCTGTCTTTCACATCAAGTAAAGAATGCTTCCTCTCTGAGGTTCTTTTGGAGGAATGGGTAAGAGTGGAGTGGGAAGTGGAGATTCTGCTTCAAACATTCAAACAAGTGTGTGCGTATGTGTGTGTGTGCATGCACACATGCGCGCACGTGCATACACGCGTACACATGTGTGCACGCATGTGTGTGAGGCAGGGGCTCATATCTAAATGTGCATTCACAATGCCTTATCAGCTAAGAGCCTGCAGTTCTCTTAGAAAAAATAAAGCCCCCAAAACTCTCCAATATTGCACCTGATCTGAAAAGGACTGTTTTATTCTCTGTCACTTAAGGGGCAATACTTCTCGGTGACACAGTCCTGGTCCTTTGTGAGAGTATATCAAACAGAACCCCTTGGACAAGCACACACGCAAATAATCCAAACAAAAGCAAGAGGCAGAAGCTCCAAGCTACCCAATAGCCTCAGCAAATCTGGGGGCGGGGGCAGTGCTGGAGGTTCCCGCCCAGTCGGTGGTCCAGTCCTACTGGGCAAGGTGACTGTGGAGGAGCTTACAGAATAAACACCTTCCCCCAAAGACTCCATCCACAGCTCAACAAATGGTGGCTCCACCGATTCAAACAGTGACCACCTCATCGCTGTTAGTGGCGCTGACGATGCCTCCGCTACCCTGTGCGGTGGGAGGTGTGTATTTGTGTGTGTGTTCACACCCTCCTGAAAATCAAAGCCTGAAGTTCACAGCCGGGTTCAGAAGGAGACAGAAGTGGGGCAGTGGTTTGCGGCTCGGTGCCCTGGAAACCCTCTCTGGTGGCTGTCTGCCTCCAGCCGGTCTGGTGTGATGTCTACCATCTGACTTCCAGGGAAGGTGGCAGCATTCTAAAGGAGGGTAGTGGGAGACAGGGGGCCTGGGTTAAACGCTCTGCCGTCCCGCCATCCCTGGGTTTATTTAAACCCTGGCCTTGCTGTTTTCTAACTGGGTAACCTTGAGCAAATTATCTGACATCTTTGAGCCTCAGCGAAGGGATAATCTCCACAATCCTACAGCCTTGTGAGGATTAAATGAGGTGACGTCTATGAAAGGATATCACAGTTCTTGATGCTAGAACGGGAGCAGACAGGGTTTATGCTCTGACCGTGTAACCAAGCCCCTTTTTGCCCGTGGGTCTGGCAAGTAAACTTGACTGCCAAGCCCCTGGTGGCTCCAAATCTAGGACAGACAGTACTCTCGCAGAAGATTCCAGACACAACTCAACAGTGGACGTGAATCAAACACATGTATAAATAGGACATGCTTTGCTCTGAGCTGCGGTTTGGAGTTCTTGCTGTGCAATTGTACCGAGTAGTGTTTTGAGGCGAACTTTGAGGCCCATTCTTCCTTCTCACGCTCACTTTAATATTTATTCTTACCCTAGTACAGCTCTTGAAGAAACTGCCTCATGGTTTCCAACAAACATAGCTTCTTCCCTCCTGCTTCCTGCTGGGAGCCTCTGGAAGAGTGGATGAAACAATGTGCCAGCCTGGGGCACGGGGAGAAGGGGCCAGGGTGGTCTGAGAGACGCCAGGGTGATACCTCAGGGCTGGAGATCATGTAAATTATTCCTGTGATTCCATTGCAATTTTCATAACTCTTGGGAAAGGAAAAGAATCAAGAGTCAGACCCATTTTTTTGTTGTGTTAGTGCCCTGCCCACCACACACACACACACACACACACACACACACACACACACACACACACAACTTAGAATTTACTTAAAATACTGTTAAGGTTTTAATTTTTTTGTAGAGACGGAGGTCTCACTATGTTGCCTGGGCTGGTCTTGAACTCCCAGTCTCAATCAATCCTCCCCTCGGCCTCCCAAAGTGCTGGGATGACGGGCATGAGCCACTGCGTCCAGCCTGTGAAGGTTTCTATTAAATTATTTAAGGATTTTTTTTTTTTAAGTAAAGGAAGCAAATCAATTTAGAAATTCATTTCAAATAAACAGAGATTTTGGTTACTGTGAGTTCTCAATCAAAAGTAAGGCATACTGTTGGTTGCTAAGGGAACAATTGTAAGCAAATTTCTGTTGGCTCGAGAACCAGCTAAGGAGGAAAAATCTCCAAGTGGGGCAGGAGTGAGATGTGCCAGCCCCTTTCAGAAGGCACATTGTTAGGGGAAAAGCTTCCTTTTCTTCCTTTTTTTTTTGATTTGGAGTCTCAGTCTGTCGCCCAGGCTGGAGGACAGTGGCACGCTCCTGGCCACCGCAGCCTCAACCTGCTGGACTCCGGCCATCCTTCCGCCTCAGCCTTCCAAGGAGCCGGAACTACAGACACATGCTACCAAGTCTGGCTATTTTTTATTTTATTGTAGAGACGTGGTCTCGCCAAGTTGCCCGGGCGGGTCTCGAACCCTCAGGCTCCGGTAATCCACTCGCCTCGGCCTCCCAAAGCGCTGGGATGACAGGCTGAACCACCGAGCCCAGTGCTTCCTTTTCTTCCCTTTCCCTCTCCTCCCCTCCTTTCCTCTCCTCTTTCTCAACCACATGCCGCAAGAGTGTATAAGAATGAGTGCAGGCTGGGCTTGGTGACTCAGCCTATAATCCCGTCACTTTGGGAGGCCAAGGCGAGTGGATTGTCTGAGCCCATGGGTTCAAGACCCGCCTAGGCAACTTGGTGAGACCCCATCTCTACAATAAATCAAAAACTAGCCTGGCGTGGTAGTGCATGCCTGTAGTTCTGGCTACTTGGAAGGCTGAGGTGGAAGGATCGCCGGAACCCAGCAGGTCGAGGCTGCAGTGGCCGGGAGCGTGCCACTGCCCTCCAGCCTAGGCGACGGAGTGAAACTCCAACTCAAAAAAAGAAAAAAAAAGAATGAGTGCAATGCCTTACTGGCCCTCAATTTGCTCCCCAGCTAACAGAGACCGCACAGAAAGAGAGAGGGAAATGACTGGCATATACTGGGCTCACATATATTTTTGTTGAATGTATGAACAAACGAAGGAATAAAAGTAAACCCTCAGAGGCATGTGCAAGGTGGAGTGTTCTCTGAGACAGAAGCAGTGATTTAAAAAATATATATTGACTATAGCAGAGCTTTATAGAATTTCCAAAGTGGAAGGAAACTTGGTGGGTGTTCTGCTCAATGCCATACACAATATGCGAATCCCAACCAACACACAAATGTCCAGCCTGCTGAGAGTTACAGCAATGGGCACCAGCTTCCCAGTTCAGAGAACGATCTCACGTGGAGGCAGCCATGCCCACAGCTGGACGGTTGGAGGGCAGGCTCCCCTGGCTGGCTCTAGTGCTGTTCAAGCATTTTCCCCCACCCCAACCCCGCCCCCATCCCCATCCAGAATTTTAGTTGCGGGCTCTAGTCCATTTTACATAGGAAGTCGACTTTGTTTCTGAGAGCCTAAAATGTATACAATTATTGTAAGCACTTCCCTTTCTTTGTAGAGGAGAAACTCTAAGTGGCATCTGGTGGCACTTGCTACTTTTCCACTGCCTGCTTTCTGGGGCAGCTCCCTTGGCCCTGGCAGAGAAACTCAAATTGTTTGGGCCTGGGTGGCAAGGGAGAGATTCGCTGTAGTTCTTGCCAATAAGTCAAATTTGTGCCCTGGTGTTTGATACCGTTTCTTTCCTCAGGCTGTTCTTGAGATTTTCTTTTCCCCTTTGTTTTGATTTTCAGCAGTCTGAGTCTGCTGTGTCTAGGTATGTTTTTCTTTTTATTTATTCTGCTTGGGGTTATATGGAATTCTCGGATCCATGGGTTGGTTATTTCATCAGTTTAGAAAAATGTCAGCCAGTATCTCTATGTATTTCCTTCAGGAATTCCAATTACACTTACGTTAGATGTTGTTTGATGTTGTCCCGTGGAACTTGGATGCCCTATTTTTGTCATTACTTTTTTTTTTCTCTGTGTGTTTAAGTTTGGATTATTTTTATCAACCAGTTTTCAAGTTCATTGATTATTTCCTCTGATTTGTCCATTCGGCTAATAAGCTCATTCTAAAAATTCTTCATTCTGATATTGTGATTTTGATTTCTAGCATTTCCATTAGCTTTTTAAAAAATAGTTTCCATTGCACTTAGAAAATTCTCCACCTATTCATGCACATTGTGTCCACCTGTCCACCTTTCCCACTAGATTCTTTAACATATTTATTATAGTCCCCTTAACATCTCTGCTGGATAAATCCAACATCTCAGCTATCTCTGAGTCTGGTCCTATGCCTTTTTTCTCCTGATGATAGGTCATACTTTTTCCTTTGTTATGTGTCTTGTCATTTTTGATTAATGTTGGACATTGTGGGTAAAAGAAGAGTAGAGATACGTGAATAATATTTATGCCCAGAAACCAGCATTCTCCTCTGCCAGACTGTGAGAATGGGTGTTTGAGCCAATCTAGTCTGCAGTTATGGTAGGTTTGGGTTTTGTTGCTGTTTTAGTTGCAGTCATTACACCATAGTGCACCATAGTGCAGTCCATAGTGGAGTTAGTTTTAATTCATAAACAAAAGATTCACAGACTCTGATGGTGTTCTTTTTTAATCTCTAGATTATTAATAACAGCATTTCTTGATGGCCAATGGCCCTTACCCCATATTCACTGATTTAACAGATAACACATAATTGCAACAAAAAATTAATGTGTTTGCTGTGTATTCTCTCCCATCTCTGCTCCACCTCTTATAAAAGGGGCAAGGGGAAAATGAGTGGTCGTCAAAAGGAGAAAGATATTGACTGCTTTGGATGTGTTGTCCCCTGAATATCAGAAGGTGGGGGAGATTCATGGGAGAGTTAAGACCTGAACTAGCCCCTATCGAGGTAACCAAACCACCAGGCATTGCAAAGCAGTATAGGCATTATGTGTTTGGGAATGTGTTTCCATTTAAAAAAGCATGATGTACGAGTCTGTACTGTGCTAGATTCTGTGCTACAAATGCCGAGTATTCAGGAGAGGTCCTGGGGTCAGGAGAGTCTGAAGAAGGTTTCACAAAGGCCAGAAGACTTTAAGCTCACCATTTCGGGACTTGGAGAGACTTCAAAGACCTAAAGTTTCCAAAATGGTTGGAATTGCCTGTGTAGATTTGTAAAAATCCAGCTTCCTGGGTCTCAACTCTGAAGATTCTAATCCAGTAGGCCCAGACTCTGCATTTTAGAAAGTGTTTCAGATGATTCTCGAGCACAGAACCACTGAACCAAGCTCCTTATTTTACAAATACGCCCGGAGAAGGGAATTGATCTGCACAAGGTCACACGGCTTGGATGGCAGCAAAGCCAGAGTTCAAACCACAGACAAATAACAACTACTATATCTCAAGTGCTTTCTATGTGCCAGGCACTGTCTCATGTGCTTCACATATGTGACTACATTTAACCCTCATAACAACTCTATGGTTAGCTGGATGGGGTGGCTCACACCTGAAGTCCCAGCTACACAGGAGGCTGAGAATCACTTGAGCCCAGGAGGTGGAGGTTGCAATGAGCAAGGATTGCACCACTGCACTCCAGGGCAACAAGCGAGAGCCTGTCTCAAAAACGCAAGCAAAATGAAACAAACAAACAAAAAACTATGGGATAACCATCTTTATCATCATCTCCATTTTAAAGAACTCTTAGAAACCAAGGCTTAGAGAGGCTGCATTCTTGCCTAAGGTTCGCCGCAAATAAATGTCAGAGCTCAGATTTGAACTCCAAAATCCAATGAATTAAATGAATCATTACACACACCGACTCTCAGTTTTTTGCCTGACACTTATATTGAACTTGAACTTCAGGTGGGGTCCAGGGAGGGATAGAGCTGGTGCATAGCTGCAGGTCTCTACAGGAAGGGACTGAAGGCAACATATTCTAGTTTTGGGGTTTGTTTTTTTTTTTGAGTCAGTCTCACTCTGTTGCTCAGGCTGGAGTGCAGTGGCATGATCAAGTCTCACTGCAGCCTCAACCTCCTGGGCTCAGGCAATCCTTCCACCTCAGCCTCCTGAGTAGCTAGGACTATTTGCATGTGTCACCATGCCTGGCTACTTTAAAATTTTTTTTTGTAGAGACAAGGTCTCTCTATGTTGCCTAGGCTGCTCTTGAACTCCTGGCCTCAAGCAATTCTCCTGTCTTGGCCTCCCAAAGTGCTGAGGTTACAGGCATGAGCCACTGTGCCTGACCAAAGTATGTATGTTTTATCTGGGGGGAGGATGGATAGCTATTTTCAGATTCTAGAAGGGGGTCTTCTCTGAAGCCTGTCCTGTTGTCAGGTGAGCTACTTCTGTCCCTGCAAAGTAGATTTCAATTGGGGGTTTGGCACGAGCCTAGGGGAATTTAATGGGACATGGTGGGCTTCTTAGCCTCAAGCTAGACTTTCACAAGCACTCATCCTCTGGGAGATGATTGCTTTCTCTGCCTTCTTTTCCCAAGAAGGAAGGTCTTTGTGTATCTTAGAAATGAATCTGAGTCAAAGCAGCCAAGCTTTCACTGACCACACCCACCTTCCTCTTCACACACCTGCTTCTGGAAATACACACAGAGACGCAGGCTCCCTAAGGTACCGTTTGTTTGATGAACATTTTAAAACACAATTTAATCCCTTAAGATTTTAGAGAAAAGCTTTTCTATCTCAAGGTCTTTTTTTTTTTTTTAAATCAGAGTTTCTTTTGTCATCCAGGCTGGAGTGCAGTGACACAGTCGAGGTTTCCCACAGCCTCAAACTCCTGGGCTCAGGTGATCCTTCCACCTCAGCCCCCCGGGAAGCTGGAACTGATGACTGATTTTTTAAAATGTTTTGTATAGATGAGGTCTCGTTATGTTGTCCAGGCTGGTCTCAAATTCTTGGCCTCAAGAGCTCTTCCCACCTCAGCCACCCAAAGGGCTGGGATTCTAGGCGTGAACCACTGCAACTGGCCTGCTTTGAGGCATTTCTAAACCCATCTGAATAAACAGATGAATGAGATCCAGTTGCCCAGTGCCTGAAGACTCTGCTAAGGCCATTCTCTCTGCACTGTGAGGAGGGGAACATTGTATTTCTGGCTGCTGTCAGAACTGGGTCAGTACAGGTGCAGGGTTAGGGGTTGGGGCTGGGCGTGAGCCCTGGCTCCACTGTTTTCCTGTCGGGGAGTATTGTGTGTGGGCCAGATACCAACTTCTCCCAGCCATCGTTTCCTTGTCTGTTGTACAGAGATCTCCTCACGGATTGCCGGGTAAATAAAATAAAGAGGCTGGCCTGGACTAGGTGATCAATCAGTGACACCAATTATTGCCATCATTTCAGGGTGATCTTGGGCCATCAGATTTGAATGCATTTCTTGGCAACTCTTAAATGTTTCTCCTTCCCAGACCAAGTATCTTATGAGTAACCCAGAGAGAGAGGCTGAGGAGCACGGCTGGGATGGTCTGGGCCCCATTTGGAGGTTCTCTCTTAAGAGACTGATCCTTAGTAAGGGCGTCGTAGCACAAACAGAGAGGCTCCTAGACCCACCCAGGTGAGAAAAAGCAGGTCCAGAGAGACTCGGTGATTTGCATCGGGGCCTGACCTGTAAGTGGGATTCACACTATAGCCTGTGTCACGTTAGGAGCCCGTGTTTCCGCTGCGAAAGACGTTCAGTGGGAGAAGGGAGAGAGATGGACCTTCCAGAGGACCTCTTGAGCAGGCACAAGACGGGAATGCAGGCGGCAGATGCTGGCTTCCATAAGTGGCTGCTGGCTTGGAGAAAGGACGGGAAGGCAGTCAGGGCGCTGGGGTTCTGGCCGTAGCCCTGCTGCACTTTAGCTGTGTGTCCTTGGAGAAGTTTCACGGCCTCTCTGAGTTCTGGTTTACCTAGCCACAAAGTGGGACCTGCTTGTCCTAGAGGGACAAATGGGAGCATGTTGAAAGAGCATCTGGCACACTGAGTCCCCCCCCAAGGCGAGCTGAGTTTTGATGTGAGGAAAGGTGAGTGGCCTGGCCCCCTCAGGCACGTTGTGCTCTGGTCTGGAGAGACGGGTGAGCTTCCGGGGGTCCTGTTGCCTGCCTCGATGTCTCGCTCTGTTTCCACAGGGTGGGAGAACGTCTATGGCTTTGACATGACCTGCATCCGGGACGTGGCCATGAAGGAGCCCCTGGTGGACATCGTGGACCCAAAGCAAGTGGTGACCAATGCCTGTTTAATAAAGGTCTGGATGCTCATCCTGGGTGGGCCTGGGCGTGCTGGGAGCCCCGCTGTGCCACCCTGGAAAGCCAGGCGAGGGTGGGCCTGGAGTCCGGGCAACACCAGGCCACCTTGGCCGGAGCCTGGGGTGCCCCATGGGGTCAAAAGCCGGCACTCTTGCTGAGCAGAGCCGCTGAGAGGACAGCTCCACGGTGGCACAGCCGAGGGGAGGGGGCCCAGCGCAGGGACCCCATGCTGGAATGGGGAGGGGCACAGAAGAGAGAAAACCTGGAGGCGGGAGGTGCGCTCTGGTTTGAAGATGCTAGGCCGTTCAAAGGTGGAGGACACTCAGAAAGACATTCCGATGTGCCGCGCAATCATCCTGACAGTCCCACCTCCAAGCACACCTCTGGCCTGGCCAGATCCAGCTTCCAGCAGCTGCCTTCCTGAGTGTCCTAGATTGTCTATGCTCTAAATGCCTTTTCTTCCAAGGCTTCGTTAGTGCAGTGAAGAACAGCCACTCAATGTCCCTGCCACACCCATCCCCAGAGCATTCGTATTATTAAATATCCAGACATGCCCAGTTAAACAGAGGAACAGCAAAAGTTCCCCTCCACCTCCCTCTCTTCCAACCCCCAGCTCCTCCCGGAGCGACCACTGTTCACAGGTCCAGCTGCCCCCTCCGGTCCTTCTTTGCATTTGCGTCTGTATATGCTCGTATGTTACGTGGAACCATATAAAACTACTGACATCTAACCTCTTTTTTTTGAGTTGGAGTCTCACTCTGTCACCCAGACTGGAGCGCAGTGGCCGCTCCTGGCCATCGCAACCTCGACCTGCTGGGCTCAAGTGATCATTCCACCTCAGCCTTCCAAGTAGCTGGAACTACAGATGCAAACCACCACACCCGGCTAATTTTTGTGATTTATTGTAGAGACGGGGGTCTCACTATGTTGCCCATGCTGCTCTCGAACTCCTGGGCTGAAGCAATCTTCCTCCTCCAGACTCCCAAAGTGCAGGGATTACAAGCGTGAGCCACTGGGCCTGACCCTTGGCCGTTTTTTGTTTTTAAAGAGAGTAAAACATGGACTTCTTATGGTTCGAGTTAATTTTTTAAATTTAAAATTCTTGGCTCATTGTGTGTTTGTCACTTCACCTGACTTTCATCTTGCCTACTCTGGTCCCGTCTAGATAACTTTTTTCCCCAAAGATCCTGGGATGGGGGACTGGAGTATTTATGGTGGAATGAAGAGGAAGGGTGCAGGGCCACCAAGATGAGGGGACATTTCTGAACCACTGATACAAGCTGCTGCTTTGCCCACGTGACACAAGCCTTCCTAAGAACTGCCACCCTGGGGTGGGGGGAGTACCACTGTGGCCCTTAGAAGGGACCTTACGGGGCAAATCCAGCCAGATGAACTTCATGCAGGCCTCGTCAGATGTCCCTCCCTTTGGTGACATCCTGCCTGAGAAGTTTGGTGTGGAGTCTGCGCGTCGGACTTTCCGTCCACAGGGTTCTCGCAACTTAATTCAGCCTGTTCTGGGTCCAGGCAGGATTAATTATGAATGAACACGCCCTTTAATTCCTTCCTTCCTTCCTCTGTCCCTGGGGCCTCTCCTTCCTGGAGCCCTAAACAAGCACCAGAAAAGTACACACACACACTCACACACACCCCACCACAAGAAGCTCGCCCAGGCGCAAAGCATTTCTGTGAAACTCGCAGAATAGGTAGAGATCGACAGGGGAAGTAGAATTGGCCAGAATGACACATGGCAGCTCCATGGGCCAGTAGGCGTCTGCACGTAATAGCTTCCGCTTGGGGATCGAATTCCTTCATTGTCTTGGATCCTAGATCACTTTCTGCCCCTGACTCCGCTGACACTTGCAGGTGTGGTCACTGGGCTTCTTCTGTCTGTCTGCTGCTGGGCACATCAGAGACTGGCCTTCCTCTATCTCCCCTGGCCACACTGGTCTCCCTCCTCCCTCTCCCTGATCCCAGACAGGAGCCAGCAGGGGGTCTTTCCTTTGGTTACACCTGAGTGTATCCGGGGCAAAGCAGTCAGACTCATCAAGGGGCAGCTGGGGCGGTGCATTTTGCGTCCACTCCTTAAGAAATCTCCGCAGGGCTCTGGCTTGGGCTCAGGACTGAACTTGCAATCGGTGCTGGAGCGCTGCGCCTCCACCCCACGCCAGCACCCTTCCTTCCTCACCCTGTTTCCGAGAAGGATGGAGACTGTCTGCGTTTGCCTCTGTGACCAGGAGAGCCCTTCCGCCAGCTCCCCGGCGCTGCTAATGTGCTAAGCAACATCTTGCTGAGTTTGTTGGGAAAACACTTGCCCTTCTTCACACACTTAATTGCTATTTTCATCGCTATTAACGTTGCGGAGTGTGACACTTTATTATAATTAAGACTGTTTTGACCAGACTCCTGCTCTGAGACATCCGTTTGCAACATTATTTAGTGATGGGAATTGGGGCGGCCATGGGGTTCTTCTGAGTGATTTATGTCCCTGGAGCCCTTTGCTTCCCACGAGTCACCCGAGGCCCAGTAGGTGGGTCTCCTTGGAGTCTCAGAGATGCTGCTACCACTGAGGAAAGAAAGAAATCTTCCCGCAAGGGGGTCTGGGCTCTGCGGCATCAGGATAACTGGGGATGATCTGTAGACTTTGGGGTGGGGGTGGGGGGTGGGA